TTCCGGCTTATGTAGAATTTCGCCCCCTTTAGGCAAGTGAACAACCACAATAATGCTTTATTGTGGTTCTCCACCGAGCTTGTGCTGGTGAATATATCGTCGAACCAGACAAGTAGGCGTCTGCCTACTTCTCCTCGTAGTTCCCAGGTCAGTGCATGCTGGAAGGTGCAGGGAGCGTTGCAGTCTCCTTGCTGCATCATGTTCAAGTTGTACATCCCGTGGGGCATAGAGAATGTCATTCTATGGACATCGTCTGGATCCATGCGTATTTGTTCATACGCGTCCGACATATCGATCTTGGATCGGTATGTTGCTCTGGTGACTGATTCTTGGATCAGTTGCATGTCTGGCATTGGTGTGACGTCGAGGATCATGTTTGAGTTACGATTCCTCGCACCTATTACTGTGCACAAAGATCCATCTGCTTTGTGGATACACAGTAGCGGGCATGCTCGCTCGCTGTTTGCAGGATACCACCATCCTGCTTTTACATAGCAATCTATTTTGGTCGCTAGTGCTTCCTGCAGTGCTGCAGGACATCTTGGGGTGTTTTCCCGAAATTTCTTGTTTGGATCCTTCAATGGGATTCGATGGTTCACCTCCCTCAAGGGAGGCATTTCTAATGGCACTGGTGCCATTACAGTTTCGAATTTCTCTCTCCACCACTCCCTGAGTATTTCGAACTCGGGGTTGTTCATGGAGAGACCTTCCAGATGTGGTACGTCTGGAAGTTCTAGTCCTTCCAGACTAGGATTGGGCCAACCTTCAGGGTACTTTTCTTCGATTACCCTGAGGTGTGTTTCAATCCCGCCTCCCTGTCAGGGGGGCTTCTTTTTTGGTTGTTCTCGAGCTCTTGCTCGAGTTTTCCATCTGTGTGATCTTGTCACATGATCTTCACTTACTCCAAGGGTGTCTATGTTGCCCTTGTTCACCGTTCTCACTTTGTGGGACTGGAAGTCTAAGCTTACCTGGTTTTTGTTTAACCAGGGGGCGCCGAATATGGCATCATATCTATCGATGTTAATTACATCGAAGTAGTGTTTTTCTATGTGGCCGTTAATCTCAATGTCCACGTTTGTTCTGAACAGGATCTGTGATCTTGTTCCTTTCGTCCCCATTTGAAGGATGACTGGGTTCTCCAATTGGAGAATTGGGATGTGGACCGCACAGACAAAGTCCGGTGATAAAGCGTCCGTTTTGGCTCCACTATCGAATAGCGCATAGGCTTTTATGCCTGCTATTTTTATGTGAGCCGTCAGCATTCTCTTTGTTGAGAGCGGTCTGTTTGTGGGGTATTTTCCCACGTCTTTTGGGATGTGGAATTTCGCATCAAACAAGGGGGACTGGGTTTCGATGGACTTTTGGTCCTTCTTCCCTTTGTCCTTGTTTTCCTTGGGTACTTTGGTGTATTTCCCCAAGGCGTCTTTTCTTGGTGCTTCCACCAAGGCTTCGGCGACTTTTTCGTCTGCTGTGTTTTCTAACTGGTGTGCTACAGCCAGTTTGATTTTGTAATTTATGTCGTCGTGATCGACGACTGACATTGGGCCCATCCTTATGGTCCCAATGTTGACTTCCTCACCCTCTGAGTCAGGTGAGTATTGAGGTCCTTCGTATGGGTCCTCTACTTTGAAGCTTGATGCTTCGGAGTTACCAGAGTTGTTCTCTGGTTTCTCATCTGATGAGTCTTTCGACTCTTCTTCCATTGTGATTGCAATCTCCATGGCGGCTATGTGCCTTGGTTTTTCATCACTTGTTATATTGTGTCTTGGGCAATCTTTCGTTTGCCCTATTTTGCCACATTTGCCGCAAATTGGAACTGACTTTTGGTCAGTTTTCCTCAAGTTTTTCGGGGATGTATCCTCTTTCCATCTGGGTTTCAGCTCTTCAGCCTTCTTTCCTGATGGGAGGGCTCTACCGCGGCTCATGGTTGCCATGGTAGTTGTTCGGGTATAGTATCCTGATTTGTAGGCTGAAGACATTTTCAGCCTGTCGATTATCTCGTCTACATGAGATATTGCTTTTAACATCTCCTCATTTGAGGAGAAGTCTGCTCTGATTCTATCATGAGCAATCATTTCCCTCTTCCATTCGAGGGGAATGTAGTTTAGGAACCTGGCATTGAAGGATGCCTGGTCTGGCGGCGTCACCATCTGGGATGCTGCTTTGGACAGTTCTAGGTAGAACTGTTTTAGGCCTTTCTCCGCTTCGTATTTGACATTGGAGTACTTCTTTGTCGCGTTCAATGCGGCAGAGGCTTTAATGAAAGTTCTCATCAAAATGTTGAGAACTTCGAGGAACATGCCCTCATCTCCTCTGAGGAGAGTTTCGTCTTGGAGTCTTATTCCGAGGTCGAACGCAGGCCCCCCTAATCCATGAATCAAGCAGTCCAGATGGACTTCGTTGAATTGGGGACCTTTGCATCCAAGTGAGGAATCCTAGTAGTTCTGTGAACCACTGCCAGAACGATTCCATGTCATTCTCCCCTGACCATTTCTTGTCAGGGAATGCTGGCCCATTTTTTAGGGCTTTAGGCTTCACTCCTTCTGGGTAAGGAGTGAGTATTCTCACTTCGGCCATTCTTATGGCCTTTTTGTACCATTTCTCCAGGTACTCCTCTTGCTCCCCTGCCTTTGCGGGGTCACTATCCAATGGAGATCTCTCCTTTGGGGGGGTTTTTGGTGGGGGAAATCTTCCTCGCAGCGTTTCTTTGGTTTCAGGCGAGTTCGCCTGAAGTTGTATTTGGATTCTCTCATTGTTTTGAGAGAGTGTGTTTGAGTTACCTCTCTGTTCAAGAGGTCCATCGTAAGTGGACGTTTGGCCGAACCTTTGGTACGTTGTAACGGGTCTATCAATCTAGACTCGTGGCTCAGGTCTAGGGGGGGGTAGGTATCTCTCTTTCTCTCAGGTAGGTGTGGGTCCTGCGAGTACGGTGCTGATACTCTCTGTCTAACCTCTAACTAACTGTCTGTACAGTTGTCATGGAAGAGTCCGATACAAATATAAAAGGAAAGTCACATGCATGAATGAATGAAAATAGTAAAGAAAATAAAGAAAATGTCATATCTCCTCAACTACTCCACCAAATCCGACGATCTTGGGCTCGTCAGAACCACCCCCACAGTCTCTACAACTCCTACTATTACCACGACTCACCAATCCTAGTCCCTGATGCAGTAAGGGGTGAAATGTGTGATAAGGGTTGGTTTGACCTGCACGGACTTGTCCCCACAACAACGTGCCAATTCTCTTCCTAATCTCTGAACGATGCCTTCTTTCGGCATCGTCTTCTCCTATCCTTGGGAGAAGGATCTCCTTAGCGTCTCTGTCGAGTCGCTGATGATACTCCAGTGTGCTTTCACTGGTGGTTCTTTTCGTGAATTTTTCACGAGTTCTATTTATGTCCTGGACCGTGGTCCAGGGGTGTTTATTTGTTTCCTCACTTTTTTGTGAGAAGTTTATTTCCTTCAGCAAGTCCGTCTGTTCGCTGATTTTTTCAGTCAACGCATCGATTGCATTGGCCATTCTTTCTAGAGTTATCTCTAGACGAGCCGTACTATTGTGGTTCGTTTCCTCGGTCTTTTTTTGGATCGAGTTTATCGCTTTTATTATGCGCGATTCCTGGTTTTCCAGGAGGAAGTTTGGTTGGGCAAGCAGTGACTCTCCCCAGTTGACATTACTGCTTCTGGGGGTTCCAGAAGGGGTTCTTGGAGTGAATGCTCCACGCTCGCTTTGTTTAGGTGAGGCCATTGTGGAGGGTGCTTCCCTTTCATAGAGGGGTCTGTTCGCTGGTTTTTCCTTACTTTTCTGTAAGGCTTCCTCAGCGAACTCCCTCATTTCAGTTCGCCTCCTCTTCATTATCTCGGAGACCTCCTCTGAGGTTGGCGACCTTGCCTTGTCTGGCATGGCATGTGGGAGTGTGAACAGTGGAAGTTCTTTTGGAGCTTCCACGCTCTGGGAGATCCTGCTCTCAGGGCGTATCTTCGTGCCTTCTCGGGCTTTCAGCCTGAGAAGAAGTTGGTCTTCGCTTTCCGTCCTCCATTTGGACGGAACCTGAAACAAGTCCAGTAGTTTTTCAGATAGCCGACGTGGGGGCTCTTCCCTTTGTTTCCCTTTGTCTGCCTTTGGGGCTTGACTTGGGGACATGAGGGGGACTCCAGGGGATAGTTGGGCCCTGGAGTTTCCTGCGATTCTATCCGATCAGCTTTTTGGGCTGATCGTTCGGCACTTACGCATTTATCGCGCAAGTCAATCACCTTGTGAGGAGGTGAGGGATCTTCCCCAGCTTGGGTTAGATCGGTATGTCGTGGAGTTCTAGGGGTATTAGGCCCCACACTTACTCCACGTAAGTTTCTAAAACCTTCAGGGGCCAGCCTTGAGGTGGTTGCTACTGCCGGATCATGTTGATCGTCGTCGTCGTCTGACAACAGCTTTTGGTTTGAATATCCCATGATGGGAGATTGCAGTTTCTTAATAAACCGCTCGTTTCTTTTTAGTGTCGCTGCAGATGTGACCTTGCCCTTGCGGGCATGTTTAGGCGCCATAGGCGCTACCAAGTCAGATGTTAAGAATGGATAGTTTTTTGTGGGTTGTGTTGTAAAACACACCTCATACACTTAAAAAAGTGTGAGGTCTCTGGGGTAGCTCAGCACACAGAGCCGTAAGTGATACAAATGTGTGTATTTTACGGTAGTGTGTAAGCAGTTACCCGGAGGTTCCCGCTTACCCACATGACTATATGTATCTAATTACATGTGGCTTGGGGTTCGGGGCTATTGCCCTGACACTGAGCTGAAGCAGAACTGAAGAAGGAGCCTTCTTCTCATTACTGCTTCAGCCTAAGAAGCCAGCAAGCCTGAGTGAGGGCCACCCACCATACATTCCTGTTACTCTGCTGCCGCCTGGGCCACTAGCGCCAGGGGCTACACCACTACCCCCACCTCTCCTGCACCATCCCTGACAGCAGAAGAGGGCTTCAACCTAGTCTCCCCACCTCCTCCAGCATGGTGACCAAGGAGCAGTACCAGGACCTGCTGACCAGGTTCCAGGAACTGCAAGCCATCCTTGAGAGCAAAATCCAAAACCCACCACCTGCACCCACACCCGCGCCCACACCCACACCCAAACCCAAACCCAAAGCACCCAAGGTCACCCCACCCACTGCCTTTGCTGGTGCAAGCAAGGAATGCGGGATCTACTTCCATGTCCGCACAGCAGAGTTCCCTGACACTCTGTCCCAGATCCTCTTCGTCTTATCGTACATGAAAGGAGGAGCCATGGGAGCATGGGTGACACAGCACATGATCATGCTGCTGATGGTGGGATCCCCTGCAATCACTATGGATGAATTCATGGCAGAGCTCAATGCCATGTTCCAAGACCCCAACCGCGAAGCCACCACCCAACACAAGCTCGTCACCTTGCAGCAAGGTAATGACTCCATGGATAGGATCATCCAGGAGTTTGAGATCCATGGCCCCCCCTCACAGCTAGGTGATGTAGGACTGATAGACTGCTTTGAGCAAGTGATCAATGTGCAGCTCCATGAGAACATCTATCGCCTGCGTCCCATGCCAAGGACTTGGGCAGAATGGAAACGAGAAGCCACCCTCCTTGACAACCAGTGGCAGTGCTTCCAGGCGACACAACCCCAGCTCCCCTTTAAACTGCCCCTTCCCCCCACGAGCCCACCACCATCAACCCCCCAGCCCTTCACATGCCTGCCACCTGGACCCCTGCCATGCTGCCCCGACCCCACAGCCATGGCCCCATGCCCCCAGCCCCACTCCCTCAGCCAATGGACCTCGACCGTTCAAGGGCAGATCAGTGATGAGAGGGGCTGAGAAGCCAGCTGATGGGGACACCTGAGAGGGATGAAGAGGGAGAGGAAGCAGACCCCCCGGAGGATTTTCAGGAAGGCAACCAGTGAGGGATGTGTCCCAGCTGCCTACGAGCAATAGTACCCAGTGTAAATACCGAGATATGTGCAAGTCCACACCATCGTCCAAATTCCACCAGGTAATTGCTAAGAAACAGAGGAAAACCGCATCCTCAACCAGGAAAGGCACAAGAGCTGCTGGCCCACCACCTGAGGTGGCTGTCTCCCCACCCGCCATCTACATGCTCACCAAACAGTCCCCCTGCTCCCTCAACATGAAAGTAAAGGTGACTGCTGTAGGAGGGCACAGCAAGTACTATACAAACAAGGCCAGAAACATGTTTTTCGAGGCTCCAACAAGCACACTCAAGTCTCCAACACAGTCCCAATGCCCACGACACGTTCCCACATTTTTTCCTATTTTTTTCATGCCTTTTTCTCAAGACTCATATTGCCACTTCCCCAAAATCCATGGTTATCTACCATTTTCCCCATATCTCCCCCAAATCTCTACCAATTCACACGATTTTGAGCTCGATGGACTGCGACGGATTAGGAGAAGAGGATGAAATGACGGGACGGGAGTTAGGACGACGGATACGCGGTGGAGAAGCGAGATTAATGGTTGATATTGACCTTATGGGCCTCAATTATTGATTTTATTGTTACCTTGTGGACATTTTTTTGCCTTATTGTTTCTTAGCCGAGCTCTTAACATTCTTCCTGTTTCCATTGTCACCATCCATCGGCTATTTCCCTTGTTTTTTGTTCTGATTTCTCTTTTTTTCTATATATACACCCAGTTTGCATTGTACTTACAGTTGTTGGACCCCTCTTCTGTGCTACAAAGAATGTGGTGTTGAGCGATCCCTCCATACATTAAAGAAGCCTCCTGACGACTGTCCAAAGAAGGACCAGGAGTGAGTACTGATTTAGTGAGATTTATTTGATTGTTTTCTAGCACCTGGACCACAGCACAGTATCGGCACTGTTGCCACTATCCTTTCTTTCTCCCTCATTCCGACCTGATCCAGATGCTACCCCCAGGTCCCTATTATATGTCTGGGCAGCTCTCGTGCCTGGTTACACCGCATTACCATCCCTCACTGCGGTCACCATTTCAGCACTGTTAGACTCTGGTGTGACTGGGAACTTCATAAGCCCAGACTTCATCCAGAAACACAGGCTTGAGACAACCCCACTCCCCCAGCCCATCCCAGTGTGCAATGTAGATGGAACACCAAACAAGAATGGGGCCATCACTGAAGAGCTGGAAGCCCTGTTGACATTTGGCCAACACACAGAGTGGGCCCGCTTTGCTGTGGTGAACCTAGGGCAGCAGTCCCTTATCATCGGGCATTTGTGGCTGCTACACCATAACCCAGAGGTCAACTGGGCATGGCAGAAGGTCATCATGTCTCGTTGCCCCTCCTCCTGCTGGTCGCTGCAAGCAACCCCCAAGCAGACCCCTGAAGTGGAGCCTGGGGATGGGATCTACATGCCATAATCCTGCCACAGTGGGGACACGACCTGAGGGTGACAACCACGCCATCCCAACACCTAGCAGAGGAAGCCCAAGACATGGAGGTGAAACTGCTGATGCTGGAAGAGCTGGTGCCTGAGCACTACAGAGACTTCCTGTTAGAACTGGGCAAGGGTGGATGATTCCGGAGGGGAACTGGAGACTTAGCAAGGAGGGACCTTGGCCTCAGCGACTCAAGCAGAGCGCTGTGCCATTGCTGTTTGTCCTTTTGGTCCTTAATTTCATAGGCGGTGAGCAGGAAGTCTCTAGGGGACATTTCAGGTCGATTTTAGACTAAAGGCCTAAAATGAGTATGTACAAGCACCGATATATATAATGGAGAGGGCGAAAGCACAAGGAAACAAAGGGGGTCCAAATCGGAATGAAGGCATCCGAATGGGAACAAAGGGATGACAGAAGCGGAGTGGTACCGAAGGTCATAGGGCAGAACCTGTGGTACATCCGAAAGGAGGTAAGGAGGGCGAAGCCCAGAGGGGCAGGAGGATGAGGGGGAGTGGGGATGATGACTAACTGGCTAGAATGGGAAGAAGCAGCAGTCCAAATAGGGATGAGGGGAAAACGCGAAAGATACATTACAAGCAGCAAAAGTGCCAAAGATGATTTGTGGAGCTCGGAGGTTGTGGAGCTTATGGAGGTTACGGAGGCGGGGTTGAAAGTCCGAGGAATATTGGCAATGGTGTTTATGTAGTATGAGGTCACCAATGCAATGGACTAAAGCTGAGGTGGTGTTAGATACTGATCCAGGGTCGGGCACCGAAGGTCGCCGATGCGGACCTGCTAAGGGCCGCGATGGCCGCGATGCCTCAGACAAGGCCCGAGGGTAGGGCATTCGGCCTCAGCAACTCTAAAGGGAGTGCTGTGCCCCCTAGTTGTCTCTTGGCCCTCATTTCGAACTTACTGGGGCTGCCTTGTTGGGGTCAGGGCTTGGGGTCGTGGTCAAGTCGATATTAGAGCTAAGGTACTATAATGTAGTATACAGGATATATATATGAAGGTGAAATGAATAGAAGCGGACCCGGGCCGAAGGCCGAAGGGTCCGGAAGCAAATAGGAACAAAGAGCGGGGTTGGCCGCACAGCGGCCGGCAATGACCGAGGGTCAAAACAAACAATAACAGATAAATAAACGAAGGGGTGTAGGGCCGCGATAGCGGCGATGGTATCATAGCGGAGTAGGCGATGTCGCGGAGTCACGCTAGGTCGGTACCAGAGGCGGACTCGGGGCAGGGAGGTCGGTGTGGCTGTGGGGGAGTCGGCCAGGTGCAGGGGAGCCTAGGGGCAAGCGGGGAAGTGAGCAGGGGGTCCTCAGGGAGGATAGGGCTGAGGTCGGGGCTTGCGCTCACGCTCGCATAGCGGTAACGGGCTCGGGCGGCATCGGGACGGGCGGCTAACGGGCCGGAATGCACGGCCGTGACAGGTGGAGTCAAAGTCCGAGGTAGGAACTATGATGGAGTCTCAGAGCGAAGGTATGAGCGGTGTCTGAGTACAGGGTACGGGGCAGCAGCAAGAGGTCGTAACTTGGCAGAGGGCCAGCAGAAGAGAGTCAGAGGGAAGAGAGAGGAGAGAGGAGAGGAAAGGTGTCAGGTCCGAAGGTGAGTGTCAGAGTGGATGGGAGGAGGGTAGGAGAGTGATGGAAGGGTGGAGGTGTTGTGAGGAGGAGTAGGAGGAGGAGCGAGAGGAGTGATGTTCGGTCCGAGATGAGTATCGGAGTGAATGGAGATAGGGTAGGAGAAGGATGGGAGGGTGGAGGTGGCATGAGGGGTGAGGGGTGGTGTGGTGTCAGGTCCGAAGGTAAATATCGGAATGGACAGTGGTAGGGTAGGACTCTGGAGGTGGTGAAGATGGAGGTCCGGGAGTCGGTTCAGGATCGAGTATCTACAGATATGACACTTCCAGGATGTATTCTCGAAGGAAGCCTTTGATGTGCTGCCCCCCGAAAGCCTTGGAACCATGCTATTGATCTAACCCCAGATGCTGCAAGAGAGCTAGTGGCTCTTGGTGCCAACCAAGCTTGTGGGGGAAACTCTCCACAAAAACTCCTTTCTCCACTGGCCTCGATCCTAAAACTCCAGGAAATTCTCTGGAAATTCTGCAAGGTCCGGGCTCAGTGTCCACTACCCACTCCTTGTGAGCTAGATGACTGCCCTTACTCCTACTGTAGGAATTCCTAACACACTCACACTAACTCTGACACGTTGTAGGCAGGCACAGCCGGTACCACGCAAACAAGCCGATTATCGCGATTCTACCACCCATGTCAAGTACCCCACTCCCGAAACACATCTACCATTGTTCCATATATCCCTTCCACGTTTTTCATATTTCTTCCGATTTTTTCCAAGCCATTCCCGACCACGGACAACCATCAGTTTCCAAATTGGGCAACTGTCACCCGCATATTCCGCCGCTTCCTCCATATCTCCATCAATTCTCCACCGATCCGGACGAATTTGGTATTGTTGGAAAGCCCTTGTTAACACGAGTCGAACGATGTTACGAGTGACGCATTTGGTTCAGCGGTTGTTCCGATCGCCATGGTTCTTTATTTCCTTAACAACATCAATATTGCTTTGATATTGCTTTTTTTTCTTAAGTGTTCCTTGTGGATCTGTTGCCTTCCTAAATCTGTCGGATCATTCGGATTTCCACAGATACTTTTTTCATATTTATAACTGCCTCTTCCCTGTATTTACAAAAAGGACTCCCCCAACAGAGAGAGGTGCTCCCCAACAAGAACATGAAGTTCTAGCAAAGTTTACCAGCGCCCAGAGCAAATACGAAGCCAAAGAGGCTCAAGACATAGTGCAGGGACAGAGTTCCCATCAGGGGGGGAAGCCCCCTTTGCAGAAGGAGAGACTCAGACCAGACAGGGGGGTACTCTAGTTGATTTCAGACTAAGGTCCCCAAAAGTATTTACAGGATATAAATAGGCAGGAGGGAAACACAGAAGGACTGGTCAGTCCGGCGCGGTCCAGCGCGGAAATAAGCGGGGATTGTCAAACTGAATGAAGGACAAGAGCCCAGGAAATGGGAGGCAATGAACTAAACAAAAGCAGATCAAGTGCCAATATTGACAGGTAATAAGAAGTGCATCAGCACATGGATTAAGTGCCAATATTGGCAAGTTAAGCGAATGAATGGATGAACAATATAGGCACTCGGCAAGGAATGAATGGTATGCTGCCGAGTGACAAGATGGCCAGAGAAAAGCAGAGGTCAGTGCTGTAGGAGAAATAACGGTCACACTATGGAAACCCATTATGGAAATATGCCAGATAAATCACAAAACCTCATACGACAAGTAGATATGAGAAAACAGAAGGACACGAATTTTTACGAATTTTTACGAATTATTATGACTATACGCGATAAATCGAAAGAAAGAAAAATAGCAAAAATACTTCAAGCTTACCATCAACGAGATGGAATTCTCGGGGGAATTTATAGCAAATATTAAACCAAGAATTAGGACAATCGACCAAGATTTGACTATAAAAACAATCAGAGAACCTCCACGGAAACTACTTTCCCACGTCCGCACACGTAGCCAAGGATGGAAGTACCACGGAACAAGGATTCCTCAGGAACTAATGCAAAATTCAAAGTCGTGTCTATAATAGGAAATGTAGATGTCCCCCAAACGGACCCAATGAGAGTAATTACAGGGGAAACTACCCATAAACGACGGAGATATGACTAAAACTCCTGCAAAAACGAGGACAATGTCTAAAAGGCAAGTGCGAAGATTAACCAGTGACGACCGAGACAAGCTTGATAGCCCATTAGAAAGGAAGGGATCTAATCTTAATCCTCCCAAATTTTCATAATAAAAGGATCATGCATTAATGAGATATCCAATAACGGGAATAGCAACATCAAAAGGCCAAGCTCAGGGAAAAGACGATGTTTGCGTAGGATCCATAATTAAAACATACAACGAAATTTACACGGAAATTATAAAAAATGGGGAACTATAGTTATGCAAATTCTCAGCCCAAACGGTCCAGCCGTTGTGAAGTTATACCCATGACGGGAATATAGAAATCCGCATCATGTGTCATGACACGTGAGGGTGGCGATGCGCAGGGAACTGGCCGTCGGAACCGAGATCTGCACTTCGGCAGATCGCAAAGACCAATTTCCATCCAAATAAGGAAGAGCCCGGTCAAAACAAAGCATGGAAAGTGCAAAACAACCTTAGATCATGAGGGAAAAATCTGAAATAAATCACAGAAGCCCATATGAAAGAAATAAAAACCCGCGCATATCACAAATCCCAAACAATTAAACGGAAACAGCACCCGCATACGAACGACTATGGGAACGATGCACGTGATTACCGAATGTGCGTGTGAACTTTTGCTAACTCAACGAATACCAGGAAATAGGACACAACCTTAGTACCATTGGAAAGGTGGGAATAAATGAAAATTTATAATACCAAGAACGTGAGAAGACATCCAGAAATGAATGAGATACAAGGACATGAAGTTAGAAACCTGAAAACGCGCGGGAAAACAGCTTCAAGAGGTCCAGAGTCCTAAATAAAATACATAAAAATATGATATCTTCAAGGACGACCTACTATAACAACGAACAATACATATGGAGGATTAGGATGTGATAATACAAAGGGGAATCAGGGAATATGAACGAAATTCACAAAAACCACTAAACTACGACGGACCATGGCGGGAATTTTAGGGAACGATATTCTAATGAGGTGGAGAGCTATAACACATTCGTTTGAGTAATTCTTGACTACTAGCAACTTTTTCTTTCAGTTTTAAACCTGAATAATTCACTCATTTACCATTTCAGTCTCATTTTAACTAAATGTCACTAAATAAAAATGGAATAAATCAGCTGAAGGTCTCAGCACAGCCATACGCATAGTAATTCGAAGTTTGAATTCAGAATCATCGAGTCATAGCAAATTTAATGGTATATATAGGGAATTTGAAATAGGTAACTGCGGCAAATGCAGCGCAGCCAAGTTCTAATTAACCATTAAAATAGCTTAGGTGAGGGAGGACAATAAGGATTCTAGGCGCAGTCTGACCACAGTAGAACCGCAGTTC